CATTTCACTGCTATTCACTTATGGTCGGAAAGGCACGGCGAGGTTAATGGATTAAGAGGAAAAACCATTAAAATCAAAAAAATTGAAGATCCAAACAAAATGAATTCGCAAGAGCTGAATTTCGTTTCGAAGTTTGCATTGAATATGAATTTGGGAACCAGCTGAACTTATCGTGCATGATTTCGCAGGAATGGAGATGGCGTCTACACTGGCCGAAATAGCAGCAAAGGTAACTGTCGTATGCGATACGAGTGAACCAATGCCGATCTTGGGAGCCGACATTGGCATAACAATAAGAAAGGTGAGAGGAATGAAAGACATTTGAATTTAGATGAAACGTTCGCGTGAAATTTGCTGCTTTTTGCTGAAGCGCAGCGACGAAAGGAGACGAAGTGCACAACGTGTCGTGTGCATAATTCAACTACTTAGCCATGTCAATGATCGCAAAATGAATTATTTCGATATGACCTCCATTAGGTCCGTCCATTAAAATCACGACGGTTGACCTATACTATGTAATTGCTTCAAGGTGCATAGTAAAACGCAGTCTTCGTGGCACCCCTTGCAAAGAACCTATCAGTTACACCCTCCTTTTCAAATGTTCCAAAACGACAAAAACATTGGCATTGTCATCGCGAATTCAACTGGAATGGTTCCTCATAAGATTATTTCCAGTACTTTGAGAAGAACGGAGTCAAAGTGCTGGTAAACGCGAAGCCGGCTTGGTTTGTAGGATCAGGTCAGGTTAGCGGCGTCCAGTTGGAGTCTGGAGAAATAGTCAATGCAGACGTGGTCGTCCTCGGAGTTGGTAGGATTTTCTTTCCCTAAATTAAAAAAAGAAACTCTACGAATATTGCACTAAGTATGCACACAGCATCGTTTTGGCGCTGCTAATGCATTGGATTTGATTTTCGGGATTGTTTCTGGAGCATGCCCATCGCGTGATAATCGCCTTATACTGTAACTGTGTCTGTTGGATTTCTGAGAGTGTTACGTTGCCAGTTATGTTCATAATTACAAATTATTTTTTGTTTTCTTGGTTTTGCTGGCTGATCTTCTCTCAGTTTATTTAGCCCGTCGCTGAACTGTCCGCTGAACCATTTTATATGGACTGGCGGCAATCCACCAGTTTGGTTGCATGCTCCCTCTCGGAAGTTCACTTCCTTCCATTCCGGGTCCTATCATTTTTTATCCCTTTTTCTAGGAACTACTGTTAAACCAACTATATGTCTGGCACTAAACTCCGCTTAGTACCTTGGTGCATACCAAGCCCACCGATAGAACCTGACTCCTTCCTTTCTCCGGCCTCTGTCCATTTTTTTTCGTTTCCGGGAAGACTGGGGACCGAATGTTGCAGCACAATCTCGAGGCATTATCGGGATATGCCCCTCACCAGAAGCAACAGTCCTTCTTTCTTCGCCAAATTATCATATTTTTCCCGGTTTATACTTCTTTTTTACCCCTAGGAGGGAGGTCGTTCAGGGCGTGGAGCGCTTTTTGAAAACGGTTTTTTGCATGAAATAGGGGCAGGTGCAGTGAACACAGATCTATGGTCCATTTCCGCTAAATGGCCTTCTGAATGCCAAAAAAGGAGTGAAAATCATTTTGTTGGAAACTGCAGTTTTTACTTGTTAAACGTGGTGTGTTTCATTCATGGCGTCAACTATAGGCATAGTAAAAGGTCGTAGTGAACTGTGCATCGAAATAACGGTGAGGTTTAGCCAAAAATGGATCCTGTCATGCTACATGTGAGGAGGATGAGGAAAGATCTAGCAGCTAACACAATCTGCAGCTTAGGGTGTATCATGGGATGCCTTAGCGGATTGTGTGTGGATGCGTGTTGGATCGATTGTGACTGGCGTTGTCGGACCCTCCGCGCGCAAAAATTTTTGCATTTTATGCTGGCACCTCCATCTTGGCTCCAAACTGCACCAGTGCCAAAATGAGTGTCTGACTGGTCATTGTCGTGACCAGGAGCAGCAATGACCCCGTGCGCTAGGTTTTCACTGAAAACTGGCTAGAAAATTGTATCTCTAGAATGAGAATAAATGACACCAGCAACTATTCGTATTTGTGATCAGCGTGGACAACCCTCGCAGAGCAGACCACGGGATCATTTAGGATTTGCTCGATGTGTAAAATTTTCCATTTATTGCAAACAGATTATTAACACGTGTGGTACAACTCTATAAAGCAAGTGAAACATAGCTGTTTGCCGCACCAGCTGCACTTGACGAATGCCAAGGAAGAGCAGCTACCGGAAGCTCCGGGATGGTCGTCGACGGAAATACTCACGCTCGTACATGCTTGTGCGAGTATTTGTGATGTACCGCAACCTACAGTCACATCTGAAGAATATGTGGTGTGTACCATTTCTGATCTCGACATGGCTTTCTCACCTGCTAGAGTTATTGGCCGCCTTCTATCGTCGTTCACGCCCGATTTTTCTCCTCCTACGAGAAAAGAAATCGCAATTGCCGACGCCTTCACGCACATATCACTGCCATGCCGGTGATGTACGCAGATGGACGACTCGGAGAAAAGCTTCTCGTCATTCTTCCCGAAAGGGGAGGAGTCTTTCCGCAGTCAGGACATTGGCAGGCACCAAACCTGCTGGTGATGGCTGGAAAGACTCACATCATGACAAAGTCGCAGGTCCCAGCTTTCGTAAGGCTGGGAGCAAGAGACGTTGCTCGGACGTGTCTTCTGCAACTTCAGTTCTGCGCCATCAAACGATACGGCCACAACTTGGCAAGAAAACTGCTCAGTGCTATTTTTCTTATTTTTCTTTTGAATTTTTTGCTATTTTTCCTCTCCATATCTTTTTGATGATCACTAGAATGAAAATGACAACACTGTTCTCTAGTGTCTGGCATAGGCCTTAGTATTGGTTTTCACATTCAACATTCTGCGATCGTCCGGACAACAGCTTAACGTTAAGCTTTCCCATGTGGTTGGGAAGTAGCCATGCAGTGTAGGTTGCATGCGCTCAATCTGGTTAGGCCGGCAGCCAATGCTGACGTTCTTACTCTTAGCCCTCCCTTTCAAACCATTCCCAGTTCAAGACTCACTCCATGCTTACCCACCACTGCATATTTCATGAGGAAAGAGCTGAGAACCGGCATCTCCGAACTTATGCTTTCCAGTTGTAATCTTCACAAGGAGTGAAACGCGTAGAAAAGGAAATACCCACAGTTTTTGAAAAGCAAGAATATTTATCTATACTTTAGGCTAGTAGCGATATGGACACGAATTATGCCTTTCTCATTAGAATGTGGATGAAATATCACCATTTCCGCCATGCTACACCTCTTCAATCTTCCAGTAACCACCCCTTTCAAGCTGCCAAACAAGTGGTCCTCAATGACAAAGACTGTAATAACTTTTTCTTTCTTCACCTGTTGGATTGGATCTACCCTGAACGGTCTTAGTGATGTAGCGAGGTGCCGGTGGCGTCGCGTTTGTCGGTCATCATAGCTGCGGCGGCGAATATAATGGTTAATTGCTTGTGGGAAGTTATGGTATTGGAATGCTAAGAAAACAGCTGTAGTCTTTTGAACTGATGTGATACCCTCTGTTAAACTGCCATTTCCGAATCTGCCTCAAAAAGACCTGGGATTTAGGGACACAACCGCCGACGGATTTCCTCAAAGGTACCAATGTAGCACTGGATGAAGATGGTTACATCAAAGTGGATTCTAACTTCAAGGTATATCATTTTATCAACAGAATAACGTTTAGTTTTAGTTATCTTTGTCTGCTTAGTTGACCGACGCACCTGGTTAAACAATGACAAGGTGCGGAAAACTTACAATAGCGGCACATTTTGTTACCATTTTGAAATCACTATTCAGAACTCGCTCCTGAGCACACTTATTATTATTATATTATTTATTACCAGTTTAGCTCCGCCCGCTACCGCGCGCATGACACGGAAGCCTTTGATAGGAACTGAGAATCGGTGAAGCTTTGGGTTTCACACGCTTAACTATAGCTGCTTCGTTAAATGCATTACTGTCCGTTGCTCATCTTGTATGTCATTTATTTGTTAAGCGCACTTATTACGGGGCTTGTGCTTGCTCCATGTGTTCAAAGTTACAACAGTATCTGTGAAACTTTGATTCAAAACAACTTGGAGCTCAGCACATATCTTTACATATGGTATGCTGATTTTTTTGCAATAGATTTTGGTAACTGATAGAAACAGATGACAAAAACCGGGTATGGAGGGTGCAAATAACGGGCGAGTTTGCGATGGGTTAACTGTCTAGTTCTTCTCTGGGCAATCCACAGAGAGCACAGCAGAAACGATTTCAGAGTATTGTATACTAGACAAAATAAAGTTTATGCGAAATAAGATGCAGAGAAGCAGCAGACGACTGGTCGTGGCTGAACTACTGAGTTCGAGAGCTGAAGGCTGGCAGGACCGGCGACACTGTACCAGATTGATCGGTCAAGCTCTACCCTCTCCCGTTCGGCGCTTATCTCCACGATCTGAAAGATTCAACATTAGCTGCGCGCCATCGCGTGATTTATCCTTTTTCTTCTTCGACCTTCAGTGCAAATTGGCGTAGGTGCTCCACCTGCCGGGCGGTTGGCTCGAGAAAGCGTCCGTGGGCCTGCGGGATGTGGTTAAAGCGGTGCGAAGGGTCAAAGAGAGTAAGAAATTATGAATATGAGACGAAGAAAGGAAAAGATTTAGAATTGGAAAAAAGGAAGAAATAAGAAGAAAAAATTGGTGGTGGAAAATGTAATGCTTTTACCTCTTTACGCAAAAACGTCTGCCTACCCCTAGGACTTGATTAAAAGGTGGATTCGGTATCCCCACTGTAGGATCCAATTCCAATGGGAAGTGTTCCGAGGTCGAGGAGAGAGGTATCTCAAACGAAACAGTCATGCTTGCAACAGATTAGAGTCGCGTAGACGCGGCTTCATCCGCTTTGTTCGGCGGCGAGACATTCGCACGACATGAAGAAGAACTCGTCTATGAATTTCGCTCGTAGAAGCGTTCAGGTGGGTTGGGGTAGTGAGTATGATGGCCAGGTCCATTTTTCTGCTTTGCACGGAGTCGATTGTGTGCAGGGCGACACCTTGTCAGCGGGCGTTATCGCAGGGGCCGAGTAGATTGTTTCCTCAACACAAGTCCAGAACGTTAGCGAATGGTGAATCCGGTGGTCGGGGAGTGAGACGTGACGGATCGGGCAACCGCGTCGTTCCGCTGGTGTACCACCGAACGATGGTGCCGGGGATACACCAGCATGAATGGGGAGTTCATTGAGGACGGGTTGTGCCCGAAACGTCATGACCAACGGGGCGACCGGGGTGTCTTGCTGAGCAGTAGATCCATCATCCCTCTGGCTCCCATCCGAGCGGCAGTCTAGTCTCTGGGCACCGCAGATGTGGCTGGAGCTGGTGAAAGTCTCCGATATTGATATGCCGGACAATTGCGGGAAACAAACTGTCATCAACTGACTCAGATATTTGGGATTATCTCGGCCTCGCTATGATTGCACGGAAACACGATAGAGGTCGCAGAAAGTCCTCCAGGCCTGGTGGTAACGAAGAGGTGGTCATGCATATGATCGACAAATTACAGGTACAATCCTGATAACTCGTTTTGTAGCGTCCCCGTTGCTCATTTCCGCAATTGTATTCCTCTCGTTCTTGGTCTGAGAGATTGACCGTCCTTTCCGGGCCGAACAGCATCGTCTCGGTGGGGCGACGTCCTCGTTCGTATCATCGAAGGTGTTTCCGATCGTAATGCGACAGAGAGTCAGAATATTTGGCCGTTAGCCCTTAAAGCACCATATGGGGGTCGAATGGTGCTATTGGTGCTCCTTCCTGACGTGATTTATCGGCCAAGAACCGAAAATCGACAGGTGGCGGTACCCGTTCAAGCTTAGTAGAGTCTCTGCGAAGTGCGACGTCAGTGGATGCAGTGACGATTTCAAAGTCGCCTGGTGTAACAAGCCGCACCTCTATCAAGGCACCGACTGAACACTTTCTCTGCCGAATGCGGCTTGTATTGCCAGCAGCGGTAGTCCTTCTCAGCCCATAAGCACCGCATGGACCCGATCATTGCAAAGCTGGATCCGACGCGACGCCGCTGTTACCGAGGTATTGAGCGGCGGTGGTACGGGAACAGGTCGAGGGTCGCACGGCGTCCTCCATATACCGAATTCAAGATGTTTGCCAGCATTGTTGACGCTGGATCAAGAGATGAAAATAGGTCCTCGCTCGCAAGGGCTTCAAAGATCGATTGGTTCCTGTTTGCCGCCGTGTGAGGCGAACGCAGACGCGTACCGTAGTCTTTTTTGCCTGTTAATATGACCGTGGCGGGCTGCGTTCCTCAAGCAGTGCCGTGACCAGGAGTTCGCGTGGAGCTCCAGTGACAGCCTTTTTAACCAGGTTGGATTTTCTAGCTTAACAAAGTAGTGAACGTCGCGCGAATTTTCGAATTTGGCCCAACACACTTGAATATTTGACTTTCAAGCTGAATTCTATCCGATTGCCCCATGCTTCATCCACCGATGGCTTTTGACCTTCCCTCCTTCCTCCACCAATTGTCCGTAATCGTCAACCAATTGTCCGTTTATTCCCGGCCTCGGACTGCCTCCGGACCGATTTATGAACCTCGTGGTAAACTCCGCCTATTTCTTTGCATGTCTCACCTATCTCCCAGTCTTTGAACTATCCTGAGCCGATTTATAATTTTGGCGGCGAATCCTGCTCTTTTTTATATCCTCCGCACACCATTG